CACCCGAGCGGCCTCTCCAGTCTCCTGCCTGGTCCAGGGGTCGCCCACCCGAGCGGCCTCTCCAGACTCCTGCCTGGCATCGGGGCTGCCCTCCCGAGCGGCCTCCCCGGACTCCTGCCTGACTCCGTTTTTCGGGGTCACCCCATGGACTAGGACTTTGTTTTTCGGGTGTTTTTTTTTTCTTTCTGTTTTTGTTCTTTTGCCTGTTTGGTCTGGGTTCCCCTTGTCTGTGTTGTGGTCCCTTTTCGGCCGCATTACGCACAGAGGAGCAATACACACACTAATATATTAAAACTAGTTAAGAAATAAATTATTAAAGGTGACGAAAATCAGTGAACACGCTAAACATTAAAAAATAAGGTAAGATAAGGCACAGGTTAGCACAACAGTATATTACTGAAACACAGTGTCCGGCTCAGAAGTAATCCACAAGTAAGTAAGAAATGTCATTCTTTAAAATGTATCATGATGAAATACTGTGAAAAAATGATTGTGGGAATGTTTAGAAAGTGAGAATTTCAGGCTACTTTTACATATAGGCTTTTGTTTTTTCTTAAAATGTGGCCAAAAAAGATAAAAATAATGTAGCACATACAGCACCAAAAATGTCTTGATTTATTAGTTTATTCACACATATTACATAACACAACATTTTGTATTTGCTCTTCCAAAACAGCCTCATAACATTCTTCACACACATTTAGCATTAAGTACAAATCTCAAGTCCCAAAGGACAGTTACAGTGATAGGAAAAAGAGAAAACCAAGTCAATCCTCCCCTTGTAGAGTTGGCAACTCGTGTGGAAAAGGCATGACTTCATCTTGTCCTCATTGCCTTCTGTGTATTCCTGCAAAATAACTCTGATTTTAATTAACCTTTACTCCTTTTTACAACTTTTAGTTGTTGTTAATTGTTCCGTGGATGATACCTTACCTCTCCAACCTAATTCATTAAAATCTGCTTATTGCTTTTTGAGTTATGCTGTTAACAAACAAACACTGGCAAAAATATAACCCCTGACCTTGGAGGAGGTCAATTTTCCAAGTTTTAAAAAGTGTCTGATCCCTATTTTAATTCAATTGAATTCAGTTTTATTTGTATAGTGCCAAATCACAACAAAAGTAATCTCAGGACACTGATGTCTAAAACCTTACTATTGGCTTATTATTATAGAGGAAAAGCCCAAGACACCCCCTTGAGCAAGCACTTGGTAACAATGGGGAGGAAACTCCCTTTGACAGAAGAAACCTCCGGCAGAACCCGGGGACCGGTTGGGGTGAGTGGACAGAAGACAGAGAAAAACAAGACAAAACAACTGTTTGTAAAGCACAGCCTTATGGGAACTGTAGTTGTTGAACGCTAACAAGGGGAAAAACGCTTTTACAGTAGTAGATGGCAATTTAGATTTCAATATGGAACTCTAATATGGAATATTTTCTGCTTTTCACATAAACAAATGAAAAAAAACTTGAGCGCTATTGTTAACTGGGTCGCCATCTTGGATAGGTTCAATATACTTAGACTTTTAGTATAATTTTTAGTATAAGCCAAGTATAGTTAACTTAAACTTTAAGTATATCTCTGATAAGTACTTAAAAAGTAAACTGAAAGTATACTCTCATTTTTAGTTTAAAATTAATATACTTGAAGCATACTTGCATATACTACCTTTTTGGTAAGGGTTTTGAATTCTTCAGGTGTGCTTAAACAACAACAGAAGAAGAACAACAGCAGCAGTACCAGTACCAGTTCAGTAGCTGAGAGTGAACTCTGCGGGGCAGGACAACAGTGAACGTGGCTACACCATGCAGTGCAGACAAATGACGACAGAGAAGCCACAGGTGAAATGATAATGGCTAACTCATCAGCTTGGACTCGGCTTAACAAGTCGTGGATTCACAAAGTCGCGGGGGTGGCCTCCTATCCGCCAAAGTCCCGTGCCACAGTTACACCTTTAGTTATTTTCCGAACAAAATGCATCAAGAGATTGGATTTTTTACTTGCCATCAGCAGCTCGGGTGCTGTTTTACCTCTAACCGTACTCTATGACTGAGGACATCATTACCGTGAGCTGGCTGGTTGTCTGGGGGCCTGGTGAGTTCCATGGACTTCGAGGCCCTGATGGCACAGCTTGCATCAGAAACTCCTCTGAAGGTGAATCTCATTCACTTGACTGCTGTGAACTGTGTTTGGATATGTGTTCACATTGTGCCTGTTGTTACTGGGCACATGATGGTGTCTTTTGTTTGCATGCATAGTGTAAATTATAGTGCTTGTTGTTTTAACCAAACACTGTAAGTGTTTTTAAATTTTATTATGTGCAGTAAATGTTTATATTTAGGGTGTAAACGTTGCTTAATAATATGTACTAAAACTATTGTGTAAGCCATGGTGATTTATTGTATATTTCTAATTCATTTAACTTTTGTTTGACCAAGTACAGTAAGTTAAGTTGGTTGGAGACTGCTTTAATCAGTGAGACCAGGAGTATTACCACTACACACAGTATACGTAGATGCTGGTAAAGCCACTGTATGTGGTACAGAATATGGTTCCTCCAGTCTTTGTAGAGTGTAATGAAGTAGTTTTGCTCTTATACATATTTCTTAGATAAACAGCCAATTGTATTTGTTTTGTACGCTGGTTGATACTGATTTAATTCAGGCTTGTGGTGTTCAATCAAACACAAACTTCTTCACAAAGAAAATGTATTGAAATAATCAGATTATCAAATAAGACTCAGCAACTCGTTAAACCATATTTGCAGATTTATTTTGGGATCTAAAAGTGCAAGTGTGAAGTAGGTAAAATCAGGTTTTACACCAACATCAGTGTTATAGAGTCCTAATTTCTACAAACAGGAGTGTAGTTTTGTTAGTGTGTTAGTACTTGGTCTTGCAAAACAGCATGGAGTGTTGGTACACACAGGTTAAAAATCCTGCTTTCACTGCCATCTGATGGTTGTAGCACACAGTGCTCACAACCTGTGCAATGCAGTGCTTGATGTTTCACTATTGTCCAACACTGTCACAGATTGATGCGATCGCAAACCATGCACAATGTGAAAGCTTTTCCATTTGCGTTGCAGTACTGCCACTATTTTATGACTGACTTTTGATATCAGGGAAGTGTATCAGAGGAAAATACAGCATTGTGTGTAACAGCATTGTGCGTAGCACCAATGATGAAGCCAAAGTGGAAAAAAAACATTTCACAGTTGGACACAATATTTTAGAAATGTTTGAGGTACAGTATAAGACAAGATGTAAAGACAGAGACTTTGATACACAATATTTACCTTCTTAAATAGGCTAGTTGATTTCTTGTGCTTGCCTTTCAGAAAAATAACTAAAACAACTTGTGCTTCATTGTTTAGTACCCAGATTAATAAATCGCTTTCATTAATGTCTCCATCCAAATAATATACTGTCTTTTCTGTTTTTACAAAAAAAAAAAAAGAAACAAAAAACAGGGAACCTAATCGTATGTCTTTACTTTGATTGGTCTTGTTATAAAAGTTTAGCGTCAGTATTCTGAAAGTCAGATGCTATTATTTATTGCCCTGGTATTGTATTAATAAACCACCACACGATTGTTGCAACTTCAGCTCCACCACAGTGCTGGAAAATTCTTGATACCAGTGTTGGTGTGATGAGGCAGTATTTAACTACTACTTCAGTACGTTATAGAAGTTTTAATTAAATGTTGAGTTCTGTAAAGTACTTAATCCCAATTGTGTTTTGCAAGGTTTATGTGCAAATACTAATACTGTAAAAAGAATAAATAAAAATGAGAAGAGAGCTGCGGTCTGGCTTCGGACAGTAGACTGCTTTTAATGGCACCAGCATCAAACTGGATCCCTGTTCACTTGAACTGGCTGACAAACAGATTCCAGGAGGCAAATATGCAACTGCTATATTTAACTAACAAAACTGGCAATTACAGATTAGTCAGCCATAACTTTACTGTGGAAAAACTGCTCAATTGTATCCAGATCTTAGCTGTGAACCTTTGAGAATTCTATTAGGGTGACAAAACTACCCGTTAACTTAGTTTGAGTCTGGCAACAGTGCCCGTACTGGTGCGTCCTCAGTGCTAATATGTGGAAGCTTGGGAATGCGCCAACAGGGTGGCGTGCTGTTGTGTCTCAGCTGGGCTCCTGGCTGAGAGCGGGCCAGGCCAAGGTTACATTCAGCTGCTGGTTGTGTTGGATGAGGGATGTGTGTCGATAGTGGAGGACCAGCTCTCTCAGGGATGAGTACAGGTTGTAGGGCTCAGCAAAACCATATCCTGTGGATGTCCTGTAGATCACACAGTGCTTCACCTCCCCATTCACACTGCAAGGGAAGAAACCTGCCACTTTCTGTGCACATTTACAATAAAACATATACAACGGTAGTAGGTAGTTTGATCCCTTAAGTCCAGCACAGGTGAGATCAGGGGTTAAATTAGGGCTACAGCTTGTGCTAAGAGTATATGCTTTCTTCAGGTTGCATTACACAAATATGTTAAACCAAGTTGTCAGATTTTAAGAGGCAGCAAAACATTTACACTACATTAAAATGCTGTAAATTATACCTAAAAAAAAAAAAAAAAAAAAAAAAACTTAAATTTGTTGATCTGAAGATACTCACACAACAGAGCAGGCGAAGGAGCCTCTCTGAGTCTGGCTGTCTCTGATGAGGAAGGTCCCGTTCCTCCTCCCCTTCAACAGCTTCTCTGCCTCCTTCCGTCTCATACCACCAGCATACCAGCTCCTCTCCTCCTGATGCATATCATCTGCCAGGGTGTATGGGCTAAAGGATGATGGGGAGGTGGTAGCATTAGATTAGTTAGATAATATGTATTTAAGTATACAATTCTCCAAAAATTTACATGCATCTTATGACCATCGCTAGTCATGTTGGGGTCCATTGCATCAGTTTGTAATTAATCTAATCAATGTGCAGACAATGTTTTTTCCTCTCATTACTCCTTAACTCAGAGTTAATTGATCATACCACTAGAGAAAGTAGTCCTAAAATCAGGCACAGTGACGGGGATAAGCAGTGTTGCTAAAGTTGGCAAGTGAAAAATTATATAGCTTGTTTTAATATACTTATTTAATTTTAAGATGATACAACATTTAGCTGGACTTGTAGGGTACACGCTATACTTTACTTATACACGGCACATATGGGTGAGAAATTGAAGGAAAATCCTGAATAAATGAGTGGAAATGAATCTTTAAAAAGCAGTGGTCACTGATTAATCTACCAGTTATTTTTGCGATGAGATTTATCATTTTATTCACAGAATGTCAGTTTTGACTTTCCAGAGTCAAAGGTGGTCTTCAAATGTCTTTTTGTCCAACTAAAGAAAGTAGTTATCTTGTATGACAAAGAAAAACATCAGTTCGTCACATGCAGGTGATTTTTGCTTTAAATTAGTTGCCAGTTAATTTTCTATGAATGAATTGACTAGTGGTTGAGGCTCTAGCTTACTACATGGCTTAATGAGTAAGTGTGTTGAACACAAGAAGGAATATGGTTTGGAAAATGATGTTTCCTCCCTTCAACAGAGGAGCGCTGAATCTGTTGTGGAGACATGTTACTAAAAAGTGTTTGGTTGTTCACTTTATATTAGTTTTTCCTTTAATTTGTTACCCATCTGCTTGCATACAGCAGACGCCTGTTGCAGGCTTTAGCGAGTGGCAGATCTGAAGAGGTCTCTACATTTTGTGCTTTTCTATTATAATGGAAAAGCTGAGAGTTCAGTTTACCAGGATAAATAGGATAAATACTCACTCCTCTTCTTCAGTCCTGATTCCCAGCCAGTCACTAATCTGGCTCTCCCCAGTGCCTTGTTCAGTGAGCCAGCTGAAATGTGGATAAAACACAGTTAGTGGATTGTAAGATGTGGATGGTAGCAGACCTGTCCCTCTAAATAGACCACATCTGCTTATTTGAATTCACTGAAGACAGAAGAAGGTGAGAGTCAGCTAGACAGATGCAGACTGGCTCATGATAAAGCCTGTATCAAGCATATGGGACATCCACAGCTGTGGCAACATAGATTTAGCTAGCTGATAGTTTAATCTAGGTTTACAACTCAGCTGTGTTGCTGGTGTGTGATGGACAGTTTTTGAACTACACATTTTGTCACAGATGGGTTTCATCTCAACATTTTGACCCATTAACCAGAGTCATTATTAACTTGATACAAAAAAGAAAAAATGAAATTGATTTGAGAACTATAAATTATCAGTATAATCCTCAACTGTAATTTATGAAGCCATGAAAATCTGGGGAAATGAGAGGCCAGAGAAAGTCCAGAAACTTTATGTACCAGTTGACAATCTAGAACACGAGGTACTGAAGGTTTAACTTACAGCAGGTATTGATCTCTGATCTTCCTGAGCTGCACAAGGTCAGGCTTTAGGTTCTTTATTTTTTTGTCGACCTCCATGTGAGCCAACGCTTTCTTCCTCAGCTCTTCTTCCAACAACTTCTTGCTGTCATGGATCTCCTCCACCTTTGACTGCAGCTCATTTGAATTGCTTTGAATCCTTGAGAAGGAGAGGGAGCCACTTCAGTAACAACTTATAGTCTGCTGATTTGCTGCAAGCATGTTGAATGGAATTGACCATATGGCAGAGTAAAATTGAATAAATGAAAAGTGACAAAACTGGGATAAAGAGTCAGTGTTTGGGAGCATACTTGTCATTCTCAGTACTGCTGTCTAATGTGAGGAACATGTTGATGCATTCCTTGCTGTAGTATTCTTGAGTTTCACACTCCTCAAAGAGCCGAATGGTTTCACTGAAAGCCTCAATGGCCGTCCGCTTGCTCTGTAGGTCCTAGGGAGAACAATGGACACATTACTTGTACATTTAAGTTTACTGAGCCTTCACAGTCAAAGGTCTGTTGTAGTAAAGCAGTCAAAAATAAAACATTTACTTAAAAGATGCTGCATTTATCCGATATGGCCACAAATTTATTTAGCCAAAAGAAGTCTCAATAGCCTCCCTGTGCCTGCGTGTACCCCGCTTCTCGCCCAATGTCAGATGGGATTGGCTCCAGCCACCCACGACTCTGTTCGGGATAGATAATAGATGGATGGAAGTCTCAGTAGCCCTTTTCAGATAAGCACTGGAACCCTGAAATTATGCAGACGTTACCCAGTGTGAGAATGCACATCTGAGTCACTTGACCTGGTCCTTAAGTAGACTTTACTCTGCCAGCTCCCTGGTACGAAGTCCATGTAATGTACGAGTGAACCCATGTAAGAAAATGGTTGTGTATAGTCCAGAGTCTTCACACCAAGCTGGTGGCCATGACATTCTGTCATGTAACAGCGCAAAACCAGAAGAATACAAACATCCAATGGTGAAGAAAAATGGCTATTTACAATGAAGACACCAATGAAAATATTTAACTAGAGGCATCCTGAGAGCTGAGAACTTTTATCGTTAAGAGCCAGCACCAGAATTGTCAGATAAATTGAAGGTACTGCAAGAGAATTGAAATTTAATTTTTGCAAATTGCCACACCTCATGTCCCACCTCCTGCACGCCACACCCTACCCAGGGTGAGAATGCTTCTAACACAGACTGTTTCCTGTTGCATGCTATATGTGTGAAAGGGCAACTCGAGACAAAGTCTGGACCTGATGATGATTAGGGTCATGTTGTACCTGGGAGCATTGGTTAAATTCCTCAAACAGACGGTCATACTCTTTGCTCTTCAGCTTGTATTGGCCCTGAAATATCCTCAGCTGTTCTCCAACTGCATCAGTGTCGACTTCCATCACAACCTGCTGCTGCACAGACAAAAACAAGAATATTTAAGAAGAAGTCCATTTTTAAAGTTTGTTTAGGTGAATTTCCATCCAAATGCTGTGAAAATTTTAGCTGAATTTTGAGAAATTCTGCAAAAGAATTAATGCACGTTTCATCCACTACTGTTATGTGACTATTAGTTTGGCAAGACGTACTGCTGGTGCCAGTTCTCTAGTCGAGTGCCATCAAAGGCAGTGCAGAGTAAAAGGATGCAACAAGATATGACAATTAAAAGATTATATATGTAGAAACAACAGTGTAAAAGTCTTCGTATTGCCTTATACAGATCTGATGTTTTCCTCTGCTACAGTGTTTAGATACTCTCCAATGAAGTGGTAGTTTCAGTCACATAGGTGATGATTTATTTGCTAAGTTTATAAAAGACTTGGTCACATTTTGCTTGTATTGATAAACAAGATTTATAGAGGTCAGATGTTTTAATTCAGGTTTTTTTTTTATGTGCAAAATGAATATCCACATGGAGACAGGTGGATGGAAACCCGTCTATGATGCATTTTGTCTGATATAAAGAGAAGTAAAATGACAATGCTTGGGACTGACAAATAAAATGGCATTTCTACTTTTGATAAACCTTTAGACAAAAGCACCTCTGAAATGAACTGCGTCTTTGTGCAGTATTGTTAATGGAGCTGTTGCAGCCAGACATATAGTCTGACGGAACATTTAATCTCTACAACATGTAAAAACACCTTTTATACTTCTGCTAACAAAATATTTTGTTTTGATGTAAGACAGTACACACTCACAGCTAGAGGCCTCATAAACTCACCTGCTGGTATCTGGTAATGGGGTAGCGTAGATGTGTGTCCAGTTTGTAGTTGTACTGGACTAGTGACTTGTTCTGGTAATACTGGATTAGATCCACCACAGAAGGGAAGGCCAGTGGCTCAGAAAAGCCGTACATCCCCCCATGATGGAAAATCTTTATCAGTCTGTTGGATCCATCTTTTCTGTAAAAGACCAAGAATAACTGCTGCAAAAAATGTTGACACGTTTAGAGCAACAATATACGCCAACACCTAACCCTGGAACTGTTGTGGTTGTTTAGTTTATTGGCTGAACTACTTGTGTGTGCGGGAAAGTTTTTATGTTCTGTACGGATGTAAGATTAACCAATACGTATCAGATAACTGATAGAAGTCAGCAGTAAGGCTACAGAGATTAAAAACCACAGATTTGAAAAATTGTTGAAAAGGTCTGAAGTGTCTTCTTTTTGTGCTCTGGCTTATACTGTGTGTGTCCCTCTAGTGTGTTTGTGTGGATATAGTATGCAGCAGTTTGGGGTTAAAGGCCTTGCTCAGGGCCACTACAGTGATGTTAATGAGGGTGGGGCATTGTGACCTGACCTGACCCACCTGGATTCGATCTTGCTTGTCCAGGAATTGAACCGGCTACCTTCTGGCCACAAGCTCGCCTCTCTAACGCTTAAGCCACCATTGCTCAAAAGAAGTCCTTGCATTGTTGAATCAGAGGAAAGTAGTAACTGCAGGTAGCACTGTGAGTATTAGCAGCTACTTTCAGAGCACATTAGGTGATAATGCCACCTGGTTGAAGAAAATAACTGAAGCTGTAAGCTGTTTCATTTGGAAGGGAATCTGCCTGTATAGTGTTGAAAATATGAGGTTTAGACAAACGATACTGACTCTGACTGAGGTGCATAATATTAAGTTGGCAGCGTTTCAGTGAAAAACGCATCCCACTATCTCTATTATGTGTTGGGTGGAGTGGGTGTTGGTGGGGCTGTGTGGTTGGAACGTGACTGGGATTCCACAGATCCTGCAGGATTCAAATGGGTGTGGGATATATTTACTCTAATGTGAGCAGGAGCAGACGGTCAGTTTCATACTTGCTGGTTGAAATTTCATATATGAAAAGAACTCTTCTGTTACTAGGCTTAACTGTTCATGTAAATGGATTGTCATCAGTGCCAAACCACAGCCCTGCAAAGACATGTAACTGGATGCTGTCATCCAACAACATGTTGTCATTTCTCTGTACAAAATAACTTGTCTACATCAGCTGTGAAGTGAAGTAGCAAGTGAGCAGTTTTAGTCCTCCATTACTGTCTACACCAGATCTGTTCAGCCATAGAACTGTTGTATTCTTAGAAAGGAAGACTTTTAATTTTCGCAACCCAATACACACAGAAAAAATCCTGAGGGAGAAATTAGTTTTCCATTGGCTATGTATACAATTCATAAGACTTAAAAGTAGTCACCTGAGTGTGAGAGTGTATTCTCCTTTAACCCTACTGGAAGCATCTCGGACCAGGAAAGTGCCATCAGGAGTGTTTCTCATCATCTCATTTACTTCCTCTCTAGACAAAACACAAATGATATAAACGTCTCAATCCATGCATGCAGGACTATAGAAAGAGCAACTTGAACAAAAGGCGTTCCAAAAGAGCCTCAAACTTGTATTATAAAGAGCTGCCCTGTCATTTGCTTGAAAGAGAAGCAGATTAATCATCAGCACTATGTTTAAAAGTGATAAATCAATTCTTTGCCATACCATATGGTACGGAAACAGCCAGTACCTTGAGATGTTTCCCCAGTACCACTCTGCGCTGGACAGCTGATTGTCATCAGCAGTGGAGTCGCATGCTGCAGTTGCTTTGGTTGTGCTGTTCTTGGATTGAAGTTCTGTGCACATAGAGGCAAAGCATTGGGTCATTACAATAGAATTACCAAATAAAGGCAAGGAGGTTTACGTATATAGAAGAATCATAGTTTGTCATCAGAATAATGACCATGTATTTAAGGTTGTTTTTTTTTTTTTAAGCTTGATGCACAGTTGTTGTTCCACACATACTGTGTTGTTGGAACTTGGAATTTTTAAAGGACAGCTTTCATTTCCATTGATTCTTTAAAAGAAAAACACTACATGATCCCTATCCTTTATTATATTATTAGCATTATTTTATTATATAACCATCTTATCAGCAATATTATCATCACCAATTTTAAGCAGTAAAAGCTGTTGTCCTGGTTAAAGTTCTTACTTTAAAAATGACAACTATAAAACAGCAGCGGCAGTAAACAAACTAAAATATAAAGGATGCTTGCATTTGAAATAAAAAGTTTTCCTGTGTGCTAGCCATTATTATTAAAGGGCACATGTTTATTTGCCCTTGTTTGAAAAAAAAGTGTTTAAATGTGCTACAAAGGAAGTCAAACGAGCAGAACAAAGATGTTGGAGGGTACCTCCTTCCTTGGCGATGCAGTTTCTTTGGGCAGGATACACATCATGGTCAACAGGGGAAGAAAGGTCCTTCAGGTACGTCATCAGGGTGTGAGGCTGAGCCTCACTGTCATTTTGGCCCATCTCAGGCTCCAAGACCTCTGAAACATCAACCCGACAATGACCTGGTGTTACTCCTCAGTCCAGGCCTGTCTGTCTGTGACGGTCTACACTTTGTGGCTGTTCAGCACACACTGCTGGCCCACTGATAAGGACTCTAGAGGGAGATAGTGGTGTGTTGCTTAGTCTTGCACCATGCGGGAGACTCTGTCCAGACTCGTCTGCTGACAGGTGACACTGTCTGACTGCCTAAAATACCAGAACTGGCACTCCTCAATGCTCAGGCACACTCAGCCAGACCCGGCGCTGCTTAGTGCTCGACCTCGCCTCGCCTTGCCTAACAAACAACAGCTGCCTGCAGAGATACCATGTCCTGAAGGACTGGAGCTGATGTGCCACTGTGTCTGTGTTTATTGTCCCCCTGTGTGTGGCCTTGTTTTTCTATACTTGTGGAGACGGAAAACCGGGAGCACACTGGCTTTGTGGGGACAGGAGGCTGAGGGGGCATCAGGGGAAGAGAGCAAAGGTGAGAAGCTGTCTGTTTGCCTGCCATTCCCAGAAAGCATTACATTTGTGTGAATTGTTTGTGTTCACCAATATGTGGCTATGGACACAGGTGTTGATACATGGGTGTAGTGAGAGGCGAGCTGTTCACAGTTGATGTAAATCATCCCTTCAGCACTTGTGATGGCATGCCTGGGGCTGGATTAAGTTGCTGACAGAGCTGTATGTTGGAGGAATCATACATATGATGTTGTGAAAGTTAGAAAGGGTAAAAAGTCATTCACCCAGGGCTTACTAATAGTGAAGCTCTATCAAAACTTGCCTTATAGAACTTGTCGGTAAGTGTTGAATGTATGTGAATCATTCATCTCACTAAACCCTTGAAACCAGTTGGAGTTTGTTAAATACCTGTTCAGGGATCTTAGAATTTCTAGGTATTATAATGCCTTTTTTTTTTTTTATAAGATTATGAAAAAGGTCCCTGTTAAAACTGGTGGTATTTTACAAAAATAACAATTTGTACTATATCTGATGAGCAGCGGAGCTGATATCACTGCGCTGCACTGTACAGTAACATGCAACAATTGACCAACAAAGTCACTGAAGAAGAAGACTGCAAGCTTGTAAACGTGGATGCAAACAATACAGGATTCAAACTTTAAAGAGTAACTGCATTGCAAATGTTTTATGAGGAGTAGGTGTGGCAGACATAACCAGTGGGGCTAATGCAAAATTAAGTCTAAATTTGGTCATTTGTTAACTGTAATAGCTCCACTGCATCACAGATAATATCAATACAACATGTGAGATCATGTGTAAAAATAACACCTTTACTGTCACCTTACTATAGCATCTTTAATCTTACCTCGAGGTGCTGGTGAAGACTCAGGCCTTGTACCCACGGATATGTCTGTCTGTGATGGTGATTGGTTGTGCCGTGATATCACAGAAAATACAGAATGGGGCTGAGGTTTATCCACCGTATGGCTGGTGCTCTCTTTGATGACCATAGCCCCGTCCCTGAAATGGAGGGATGCTAGCGATGGCACTGGGAAATCAGCTGGCTGGAGCTCGCTGTCCTCTGCATAGTCTTTGCTCTTGACAGGTCTGAGCAGGAACATAGACTGAATAGTCCAGCTAGGTTTTATCAATGTTGTGAAGCAGCAGGATGCTATGTGCCAGGGTGCTGTTGATCACATACTCATGGTGGAGGATAGAGAAGGTGATGGTGCAGAGTTCATGGCTGTCCTGTGGTATTTAAGTAGAGCGTGTTCTTCAGCCTGAACCCCTATTTTAACTACATTTAAGAGTAGAATAACATTGTCAGAAGAGCCTATGTTGTCACTTTCATATTCAGGAGGACTTTTCTATAACCAAGCACTGTTCTGCTTCACAGTCATTTGTTTAAAGAGATTCATACGAGGGAGAATGACTGAGTGGCGGGTTGATGGACACCTTGACATGACTTATTGAGCTGTAAACCCGCTGGACAGTGACAGACTGAAGCATTAATGTTTGATTTCTTCCTCAAGGACTCTTGCATCACCTCATGTCAGTTCATCTAAAACAGAAAAGGAACAACCACAGTCAGCACCATAGAATGGGGAAAAATAAGCCTTTTAGTACATGCGAGAGCATCTGTCCAAATGATAGTTGATTTATGAGTAACACCATTAGACAGATTTTGCATGTGCAGATTTTTTTTTTTTTTTATGTATTACCACTAGTTGGATACACTTCACATATACATGCATTTCATATGTAGCCAGTAATTCCCTCACTGTGTACTAGATTTGGACACGGTTTTCCCTTCTCCACTGTATTTCTGTCGGCGCGTTTTGTACACCACATGTATATTGTTGTGTTAAACCACATTATACATTATCATGTGGTATGTTTCAATAAAAGAAGAATATATATTAGTAATTTACAACATTGTAGATTGGAAGTCAAAGCAGTGGAAATGGTGTCAGCATCAAAATGCTTCCAGCCACAAAGTCTTTATGATGCAATATTCAAGGTAAATTTAGATGGTGCAGCAGTTGCTAAATATAATTTTGAACAAAGTCCATTATCTTCTTCACATAAGCCCATTTTCTTATGTGTTAATGCTCATGTCCTAAAAAAAACCCTTCATTTATTTACCATTATTGGTTTGGTAGATCCATAGGCAAAGTTCAGGGGATCAGCATCTCTTTATGTATGTTGCATTTTACAGCAGTACTCTGATGAAATGTCTCATATTTTCAGAGCATGACTGAAGTGAAGTCCACCATCCAACAGTTAATGCTGAAAGTATTTATTTTGCTGAGGATGACTGTCCTCTGCATTTGTTTTTGTTAAATATACATTCGTAGCCTCACATTCATCAACGTTGCATCCCAAAAACAGGAAGGCTGATGTATGCCATATTCCCCAAACGCCTTCAAGATTTCCATCATCCTGTACCTAAGCCTGGAATGATGACAAGATATAATGGCTGAACATGGACACAACTTTCAAAAGTGCAGCTTCTGGTACAGAAAACACCTATTGAATAAAAGAAACCTCATCAGAAAACAGCAGTTGGGGACAATAATGCACCTACCTGGACGGAGACAGATGGAACTAGGCGGCGGGAGAAACTACTGTTTCATCAGCATCCATGAAGCAGAGAAAAGATGTGGTTGGACGCACATGTGGCTCAGATCAAACCAACCACTGGCCTCGGTCCTCATGCCATCCTATGTCCCTCCACCACCCCCACTCTTCCCTTCCCGTACCGTATCTCCTCCCGTGTCTTCCACCTTTTCACTTGGTTGTTGTCCATCCCCTTGGAGTGGCATTTTTTCCTACGATGCCATTCCTCTAGGCATTTCCTCTCATCTTCACCGATAGATCTATGTCTTCATGAAATTTGACCTTTTCCAAGACACTGCCACTTTGTTTTTACTAACATGTTCTTACAATGGAGAAACTCCTCTGATCTTGTCAGGTGCACAAAAACCCTCCAGGGAAAAAAAAGAAAAGAAAAATCTATAAGATTACAGATTTAGAGCTTATGCAAGTAATGGAAAAGCAAAAATAAAAGCAGCACCGTAACTCTTTTCTCAGTTTGAGAGTACAAGGAAGATGCACAGTTGGGGGGGGACAGAAGCAGGAGAATGAGTCGGGGGGACTCCTATATAAATAAATAAGGGAAGGATGCCACTGTTGCTATAGAGAGTGAGAGGCTTAGTGGTCTCATGAAATCCTATTGGCCTGCGTGTTGCCATGTGCTCAGGACTCAGCAGAGATGCTGCTAACAAATCAAGGAAATGTTCTAATATTAGACTGTATGTATCTAGGCAGCGGGAGCCCCTGACCTCTCAACTCTGCCAGCTTTACGTTCCACTTCACAGATCAGCCTAATGAAAGAAGTGGTGTGGAAGTAACTGGTTAAAAAAAATTGTTACACCACTGTAAACAAAACAGCCGCCCACCACCCCGCCTCCCACCATGACATCCCAGCCGGTACAGTTACAGATAGGCAGAGAACACATTAATCTTCTGTTCAGATTTCTGTATATATGAAATACAGATACATGTTGTTGTTGTGTTACTGTGTTTTGGTTCTCTGGACAATTTGCTGAACATTCAGTTATTAATTTTGCCAATGAAAAACTGCCTGTTCCTGGCAAGCTTATACTTGCAGGGCCTGCTATAATAAACTAGGTCCATTCATTAAAAACTAAACATGGTGACTCAAGAGAAAAGAAAGCTGACATTTATTTTCAAAACATGCTAGCTACTTCTCTACAATACCTTGCAGTTGTTTTCTGTATCTCTGTCATATACAGTATTAGCTGATGCCAATTTGTTTATCTCTTCCTGGAGAAATGTGTGGAATTCTAAATATCATAATTCCTGGATGTTGGTAGACCTATTAAGCAAAGCAGATTAAATGCAGTCATGCTACTGTATGTCTGAAGATCAGTAATCTAATCAATCCAGTTTCTATTTTTTAATTAATACGCTTCTTAGATGTGTTATCATAAATCTTAATAAATGCAGCCTTGCATAAATGTAAACCAAGTTAGAGCAGGTAATCTGCACGTTGCAGAACTAATTCAGCTCAAATATTATCTGTAATATTTTATGTTCAGCTCTATAGGAAAAATAAAATATATCCCTCATTCTATTTAAACCTGTAACCAGATCTTAAATGTGCTAAAAACATGATGTACAGGAAAACAGAGAATGAATTTGTTAAGCTTATCATATTCATGAATCCTTTCATCGTCATCCATTTCCCTGTATTGTTTCCATACACTGTACAGTGTTTCCCCTAGGTTTACAGCTTTTGGGGGGGCTTCTGTTGTGATCTGGTGCTATATAGAAAATAAAATTTAATAAAATTAACTTGACCTTGGGGGGGTTGCCCCTCTAATATAATGGAGGCTGTTAAGAGTGGATTTGTTTTGTCTTTTGGATGCTTATTTATGGCTCTCACCAAACTTTGGGCACTTTGTCAACGTTCCTAACAGCGTAGAAGCACAAGAAACATCCTAAACCCTCACTGCTCTGTGTGCCTGTCTGTGGGAATGCAGTGTAAATGGTTCTAATCTAGTTTCTGTTTTATTTGTTGTTGCTGCGCATCTCTAAAAGATCAACTGTGCCAAGACTAAGTTATGCTTCTTTCTTTTCAAGCATAACACTCAGAATATACTGCAACCCCCCTAGGGACTACAGTATATCCAGAGATAGAGCGGGCAGAGAGACAGGATAATGAAAGCGAACTCACACTGAATCAAAATTAGACACACTGTCTGGCTGCTGGAGAAAGATTTTATATTGTGAAAATGTTCAGTGGTACATTTGTTGTTTGCTGAAAGGAAAACTACTGTAGCTGCTTACTTATAGCCATTATGGGTAGCTCATAGCGAAGGTTTGTATCAATATGGAAGTACCTAAACACTTGGTGCTGGTTTACAGGGAGAACAGTTCAGATTTAAAGCCTGTTATGGAAATCCAGAGTGTTCCTTTTCTTTTTTGAGGTTAACAACTGAGGGAGACCACATGTGAGATTAATTCACTGCTCAGTGCTTATCAGGGTTAGATATTGTGTAGAAAATACTAAACAGACAGATGTGCTCTTCAAATGAAGATTTTTCATTGGAAATTTTTATCATTTATTTGTGAAATTCACTAGCTTTTGTAGCACTTTTAATTACCATTATAGGTTTTCTCATCCATTGTTGGCTTCATTGTAAATTTTGAATATAGACCTTGTGGTGTGATCAAAACATACAGAGGTGTTAAAATATTCCTATATCATTTAGTCAAAGTAGGATTGTATTGAGACTGTACTAGTACTTGATAGTACTTTATTACCCATGTTCACTTGCTGTATTTTGGCAATATGCACAATAGTAGGACTAACCATACTTTTCATAGATGTATACACAATATTTATGTAGTACATTTCACCCACTGTTTCATGAAAGGCAGGTTTAACTATACATTGATGCATTTCAACACTTATCATATATTGTACAGTGCACTTGAAGACCTGAGTACATCAACTCCAGAACTCTGAGGAATGCGGCCCACTGAGGAAGAAAAACCCAAAACATTGTGGGCTCACACTACAAACCTCCAGACAATTCAGATGGTAAGTAAATTGTTCAGACCATTGTGAAATGTTGCATCAAATTCTTATTACTGTGGATGGCTTCTCAGTGAAGTTTTATCATTTCTTCAGTTTAGTATTGCTTTCAGCTCAAGCTTTTTCCATTTCCATCTTAGGCAATGCTTAACCAGATGTCATTCCATGGCCAGACCATCATCTGCAGCATTCTTGAGGATGTGCAACAGGCAAGTTTTTTTTATAAACGGACCATTTATTGAAAGCTTTACTAAACTTTTTTTGCAGCTCATCCAGCTGCTGAAGTTTTGGCTAAGATGGGAAATCCCTACTGGTGGGTCATCAAGGTGGAGTACCTAACATTTTCTCCATGATGTTGCGCAGCATGTGCCTGGACCACATTTATGAAAACCTCTACAGTCATTTGAGTTCTCTTGTAGTTGCATGACTGGAGAAGTCTTCACAACTGTGGTTCAGGCACATGGGGAAAATGAGGTACTTTACCTTGATGACCCACCAGTAGGGATTTCCCCATCTTATGCCAAGACTTCAGCAGCATGCAACAAAGGAGGGTACTCCATGTGGGGGTAGTGTGTTCATTCATGTTGGGGCCCTTTTTTACTTTTTAATTGTGGTTTTTGTTCAATAAAGGTATTGCAACTTATCTTTGATTTTAAGAACCACAGTTCAATAAGTCTTCCCAGTTGTGTCCAGACCTTGAATCCAAGGCAGGCTGGGGGATGAACACATGTCGCTTTTGAGTGTCCACTGAAGCAAACAAAAGTGGCAAATTTGCTACTATAAAGCACAAAATGTTTCAGTTTTTGGTAAGCTTGTTTTAGATTCAGTTGAGGTCATAGTTAAACATGCTGCTGTACTGAACTAAATTATACTCTGACCCCCTCATGTATCTCAATGGGCAGGACAAAAACATACCAACACCTCTTAAAGGTGGTGTTGGTCTGGACTACATTATATTAACTATGAAGCTCAAAATGTTTCATGATTGAGGTCATAAAGACAGAAGTTGCCAAGTTACCTGGATGTAAAGTCAGGTTTCTTTGCAGCATCAATACACTATTGACAGTGACAGGGGCGAGGACAGTCATGCCGGGGCGGGGGCAGCTGTCGGTGGTGGTGGGAAACAGCCAGACGGTCCAGGAGTTCTGGTTGGCTGACATAAAGGACGAGTGTATTGTCGGCCTGGACCTCCTGGGCCACTGGGGGACGACGGTGGATGTTCCTCGGGCTGTCCTACACACTGCCAGTGGGACTGTGCCATTGCAGGTGGGCTCAGGCAGCCGCCAGGGGGCAGCCCCTTCCACAGAGGCAGGT